TAGATGCTGCTGAACATGAGGTTGTCCGTCAGGTAGTACTTGAGCGTCCCGCCGTCCATGGTGGAGCGGATCCGGCAGTGCTGGACGCGGCCCGACCGCCTGCGGGGACAGGGGGACGGTGGGGCTGCTGACGGCGAGGTGCAGCTCCCACAGAGGAAGACGAAGCTCCCACGACGGTTACAGCCCTGGAGAGCCGGGGGCTCATTCTCCTCTGCCCGCCTGGGACACTGGGAGTTGGAATCAACTTGGAAGCTTTTTGTTTAACTCCTACAAGGGACCTGGTGGCACAGCTGCTAAAGCTTCTGACTGTTAGCCAAAAGGTTAGAGGTTCAAGCCCACCAGCTCCTCTGAGAGAAGATGACGCGGCAATCTGCTTCCATAATGATCTCAGGCCTCAAAGCCCTGTCAGGCCTCTGCTCTGTCCTGCAGGGTCCCCAGGAGTCCAGTCAGTTGTGCAAGAGTGAGGTTGATGCTTTGGTTTAACTTCTGCACAGAGCCTCGTGTGGGATAGCTGTTAAAGCACCTGGGCGCTACCTCAGCGGTCACACCTGTGTGCCCACCAGCCGCTCTTTGGGAGAAGGCGTGGCAGTAAATGTCTGTAAGACTCACAGCCCAGGAGCACTCAGGGGCCGTTCTGCTCTGCCCTACAAGGTCACTGTGGAGGTGGAACGGACTGACAGCTCTGGGATGCATGTCTCCCCCAGGTGTGGCTCACACAGCCCACCACGTGGTCTGGAGGCTGCAGGTGGGGCACGTACCAGAAGGACAGCGTGTAGTCATTGGGGAAGGTCTCGCTCTCGCGCACCAGGAAGGTGCCATCCTTGGCCCCCACCTCGGCGCAGTACTCCTGCAGCAGCTTCTCGGCACTGGTCCTCTTCTCCACCTTCTTGTGGAACCACTTCTCCCCGAAGTGCAGCTCCGTGGGGGGTGTGTCCTGGCCACGGCGGGGAGAGCCCTCCGTGAAAGCGTGTCCACCCAGCAGACCCCACCACCGAGCATCCCAGAGCACCTAGTACCCCTTGGTGTCCAACCTCTGCCCAGCACGTCCTCGGGTTGCATGCCCACTTAGCAATCAGATTCCAGCTTCACAGAGGTCAGGGAAGGCAGGGCCCACTGCCCGCCACCCACTCCTACCTGGGGCGGCTCCTCCTCCAGCGTCTGCTCAATGTCGTCACTAAAGGACAGCTTGGCATCGGCGACGGCACAGTAGTGCCTCGTCCATTTCTACAAAGAGAAGCAAACATGATCGTCTCCTAAGGAGACCCCAACACCTCCACTCATCAACGCTGGGCCCTAAAAGCCCTGTCCAGGGTCATCTGCATTCACTGGGGAGCCACTGGGCTTGCCTAGTTTCCAACCTGAATGGAGGGGTCACTGAACCCTTCAGGACATTTTTTCTCAAAAAACATCTTCCTTCCTTTGGGCTGCTTTGGTCAACTCGAAGATATTTCTCGGTCGACTGTTAACTAGTTACTGCTTGTGGTACAGTTATCTCGCAGTCTTTTATAAACAATGGGATTGACTGGTGGGGTCTGAAAATTATCTTATTTCTATTTTGTCTACCCTTAATACTTTCTGGGATTTTTTTAGCCAGTTTTCTAGAAGCTTTTACCTGTGACTTGATTTTTCAATTGAATCTTTAGTCTCTTTTTCAAAATGCTTATATCCAAGAAAGTATCAAAATGCTTTTACCTGTAAGAGCAGAATGTAAAAATGTCCTCAAATGGGTTTGCATTTTATGTGAAGGACTAGGACTTCCTTCTAGGACATGATTTTAGGCAAAAGGAAGGTTGGCGGTGTAAATGCCTTACTCTCATAAAAAGAAGATCTAGGGTGGGATTGTCCCAGAGCTTTGGAGGTGCTGTGCTGCTAACGGAAAGGTGAGCAGTTTGAATTCACAAGACGTTCCACGGGAGAGGCAGGTAGCATCCTCCTGTAAAAACGTACAGCCTTGGAAACACAATGGAGGGTCGCCAGCCACTGAGCTGCGACTGGACAGCAGTGTTGTGTTTTGGTTTTTAAGAAATTAGGAAGGAGGCGTGGCCCTTTAACAGTTTAACACTTGGTTGCCAATCAAAAGGTCTGTCATTTGAATCCACTAAAAAGAGAACAGGCCAGGTGATCTAGTCCTGTAAAGCTTACAGCCCAGAAACCCCGAGGCAGTTTGTCAGACAGGGTGGCTGAGTCCGATCAGCCTGACAGCCCAGAACACAGAAGTCTCGACGAACCCCACGCACTGTGCTCTCCCAGACTGGAGCCTGCACCTAACACAGGACAGAAGACTGAGCACTGCCCACCGTCAATTCTACATCATGGTTTCAGAAACCATAAATATTCTCAGGAGATGATTGCCTGGCCTTCTCCTGTGTGGCATCTGGTGGATTCAAACTCCTCACCTCCTGACAGCAGCCTAACACGTTACACATCCAGAGCTCTTTTTACTAAAAGATAAACTCAAAGGTGTAGTGGACAAATCGGTGCTATCGGGAAGAGATCGAGAAATGAATTAAGGTGAGTGGTTCTAAGCCCTCAGCGATTCCACAGGAAAAAGAGAAAAGATTCACACAGTTTCAGAAGCCCACAGGGCAATTCTACTGTGTCCTACTATGAGTGAGAATCGACTCCACAGAAGGTGGGTTTGCTTCTGCTCTGAGCATAAGTGAATTAAGAGTGTCGTACAATGATAATGTACAGATACAATAATGATAAAATACAACAACGATAATGTACACACTGTGGTGAATGCTCATGTGAGGAAACTCAGTGAAATGTCGACGAAAACTACTGAAAAGTACAAAAAATATATATGGGGCACCAGAGCTCGCCTAATAAATATAAAAAAATTAAAAAGTTAAAAACAAAAGACAAAAAAAATTATATATGCCTATATACTTTATACTGGCATATACTTACCTACTATAGACATCTCTACAGCTAAGTACTTACATACACATAATGTATGTGTATATATATAGATACTGTTGTTGTTGATTGCCTTTGAGTCGAGAATGATTCATAGCGACTCTATGAACAAAAGGCCTGAAGCCTTTCTATAACTGTCGACGTTTATCAAAGTTCATAGAAGTTTCCAGAGGCATGTTGTTTAGGAAGTGGATGCCACTCCTGCTTCCAAATATATAGATATAGATACATGTATCAACTTTTCAGTTTTATATACATGCATAGGGATCACTGGTGGTATGGTCAGCAAGGAGTCACACTGCTAACTCCAGGCCAAAGGTCATGCCTATCTGGCGGTTCAAATCCACCAACAGCTCTGAGAGAAAGATGAGGAATCTCCTCCTGTGCAATTTACAATCCTGGACACCCACCGAAGGGTCAGCTCTGCCTCGGTTCTGAGCACACATCAGTAAGAGAAAGAAATGTATACATTGGTTGTGATTTCTCAGAACCAACCTGACCTCAGGAAGTTTCATTTTTCTGGCTGTATATGTGACAATGAATATAAAATCATTCCAAAATAAATCATTAAAAAGTTAAAAAATATAAAATTGCACTGCAAAAACAATTCCATTTAATTAAAACTGCCAAGGGCAGAGGGGACGGGTGGGGAGGCAGTGGTGGCTGCAGAGGGCAGCGGGCAGAGTAGGGCATGAGGGCAGCGGGCAGGGCGTGAGGGCAGTGGGCAGCCCCACCCACCTGGTCGATGGAATCCCACATGTACAGCTCGCCCTGCTGCTTATGCTCGTCCTTCTTGTCCTCCATGTTGACGTCCACGTCACCGCGGGGGCCCAGCTTCTTATGCTGAGAGGCAACACATACAGAATGTAACCACCCATCACCCACATCCGGGATCAGCCAACCAGCCAGCGTTCACCCACATCATCTCGACCTCAGGGCCTTTGCACGCCCTGCCCTCAATCCCTGGCTTGTCTCTCACTGCCCTGTCTGTCATCACCCTCTTAGTGTCTTCTCCAAACACTCCCCCATAATGAGCCCACTCCCCTCTTCCATCCCTGTCACTCAATCCCTCTCCAGCTCGATCATCCTAACTCCTTGGCCCAATGTGATCAGCATATGAATCTGTTTTACTGTCTCCTGTCCATCTTGTGCTAGAATATAAGAGTTCTACTGAAAAATCTGCTGGCAAGGACCTCTCTATAAGTGCGAAAGAGCAATGATGTCAGTTTAAAGACTAAGGTGCACCTGACCCAGTCATGGCATTTTCAGTTGCTTCCGACAGCTGGACAATGAATAAGGCAGACGGAGGAAGAATGGATGCCTTTAGATCATGGTGTTACAGAAGAGTAGTGAATATCCCCACAGAGAATCAACAGAACAAACAGATTTGTCTTTAAGGGAATGCAACTCCTTAGGGACAAGGATGTTGACACTTTAAGTCTCACATTATTTGGGGCATGTTGTTAAGAGGAACTGTCCTTGGAAAACGACATCCCGCTGAGAAAGACTGATGGGCAGCCCAAGAGAGGCAGCTCCTCTGTGGGACGACTGACACTGGAACAGTAATAAGGGGCTCAATCAAGGTAGAGACTGGGATGCTGGTGCACATATGCTGGGGGTCACAGTGAGTCAGAGTCTCAGCGTCACCTAACAACAACACAGATGCCCCAAGATACCGCATGAGCTGGTGGGTGAGACAGATGCTTGTAAGCCGTCAGGTTCAACTGGCGTAGCCCATGTGTAGCTGAGGCATGCAAACACGAGCTTGAAAGTCAGATCTAACTTTAGACTATTTCTTTTCAGACTAGTTCAAATACGCCCGTATTTTGAACTTCTTCAATTTGACTAAGGTGTACAGGACTCAGACCATGAGCTTGTCAATCATTTGCCTTGTGTCTGAGAGCCGGACAATGAATAAAGATGGCAGAAGAACTGATGCTTTTGAATTGTGGCATTGGAGAAGAGCGCTGACCATCCCATGGACGGCCAAATGAACATACAAATATGTCCTGGAGAAAGTGCAGCCAGAGTGCTCCTTGGAGGCAAAGATGATAAAGCTTCATCTCACATACTTTGGGCACGTTGCTAGGACAGACTATTCCTTGAAGAGGGACATCAAGCGTGAGAAGGTGGAGGGATGGAGAAAGCCCCTCAACCATGTGGACTGACACAGTGACCACAGCAATGGGCTCCCGTGTGTCAGAGATTTTGAGGATGGCACAGGACAGGACAGGGCTCAGATCTGTTGCTCACAGGGTCGCCGTGGGTCATATTCAACTCAGCATATTCCTAACAAGGCACCCGCAGGCATATAAAGCACAAATCACTCACAGAAAACTATTAAGACTACAGAACCAGGAGGTCGCAGCTGACAAAAAGAACACGGTGCATGTATTATTTGTGTAGAAATACAGTGACCACGTGACCAGTGTATGCCATTTAATGCTAACCCTCACTGTCCACACCTGTAAAGAGGATACAAGGTGAGAGGTCGGGGACGGTCCATCCTGCTGACTGGGAAGGACACTGGAGAAGAGAGTCCACTCAGCATGGAGCATGAACACAGCCCACCCCTGTCTGGAACAGAAAGGGGTGAGCCCTCAAGAATCACAGCTGAGGGGAAGCAGCGCTCCCTACCGCCCACCTGTTATAGATGGAAGTGTGCCTGTTCAATGGGGCAACTTGATCTGATGTGACTATTCAAACCCTCCCTTCAAGGATGGTAACGCTGCCCAGTTAGGGACAAGCCGGATAAGGAGGAAGAGTACCACCCCGGGGGTCACGGTGCATCCTGAGGCAATCTGGTTTTATTATTATTATTAGAGTTAAAATTTACAGAGCAGATTGGTATTCCATTAAGCCATTCATATGTGATTCAATCTTTGAGAGAGAGTTTAAAGAAATTAAACAAGCAAGTAGAGAAGGGACCGCCTATAAATAAGGCAGATAAACCGGAAGAAAAGCACGTCCTTTGGGTCCAGAGTCTCTGCAGTGAGCACGTCCTGGTCCAGGTGAAGACTGATGACCTGGGCAGAGAGGGACAGCCTTGCCCTGAATTCAGGCTTCGAGCCTCCTAAGCCGTGAGTCTGTATTTCTATCTTGGAAAGCCACCGCTTTACTGTCATTTTATTACAGCAGCACCAGACAACAAAGATGAACAGCCAATATGATGACTGGAACCAGGAGCTGCTCTGAGCGCCCTCCACAGTGAGGCAGGGAAGCTGTGAGCAGACGCCAGCAGGTACAGCAGGCCGGCCTTGAAGACCTCCTGGCCCAGGACCGGGGCATCGGGACCCTTCTCAGTCCTGCTGGCCCAAGGCCGGGGCATCGGGGCCCTTCTCTGTCCTGCTCCTTTTGCCCTGTGACCGGCTTCATCCCGCCAGAAGCTTCCCTTGCAAAGCAGCATTCTGCCCAGGATCTTAGGATCCCCAGTGGGTGCAAATGGTCAGTGCTGTTAACTGAAAGGCTGTTGTTTCCACACTACTCAGTGGCCCCTCAGAGAACAGGCCTGGTAACCCCCTGTGTGTGTGTGTGTGTGTGGTGGGGGGAATCAGCCTCTGAAAACCCTGCAGGGCCCAGTTCTGCTCTTACACCCACACAAGTGGTCACTAGGAGTGGAAGCTGGATCAGGAGCAGCCAGCTGGGCCTTCCGTGGGACACAGGTCAGTGCCAGCATCCTGGAGGAAGAGTGTGGCAAGCTGCTTCCAAGTGATCACGAAATCGAAAACTACGAATCACCGATCTCCTCGGGCACACAGGGCAGCCAGGTCGGAATCCACTATCAGCTGGTCTGGGCGGTTTACCGGGGGTGGGGGGGGGGGGGGGGGGTGTCTTTCCTAGGGAGCTTTGGTAGCTTGGTGATTAGTTGTGCTGCCAACCTAAAGGCACACAGTTCAAATCCACCAGCTTCTCCATAGGATGAAGAAGGGCAGTCTCCTTCCGTGTGATTTACTGCCTCTGAAAAGCCACTGAAGGGTCAGGTGTGAGTTGGCTCTGGCTCAGTGTACCCAACAACTCTGTATTCTTGGTAACACTCATGGTAGATGCCGTCAAGAACGGAAAAGATGTGCTGTCCTGGGAAAATCTGCTGTCAGGGACCTTTCTCAGGCACTAAAGAGCAAGGATGTCAGTTTAAAGACTAAGGTGCGCCTGATCCAAACCACAGTATTTTTCAATTGTTTCCTAAGCATCTGAAATTTGAACAATGAATAACGGAAGAAAAGATGCCTTTGAATTGTGGTGTTGGCAAAGGTACTGAATAGCTTGTAAGAAACAAAACCAAAAAAAAAAACCCCAAACACATCTTGGACAATGTACAAGCCGAGTGTCCTTAGAAGGAGCTGACCCTTCATCTCATGTCCTTTGGGCATGTTGTCAGGAGGGGTCAGTCCTTGGGAAAAGACATCACGCTGGGGAAGGAGGAGAGAGAGCAAAAGGAAGGTGACCCTCAGTGAGGCGGGCTGAGGCACTTACCGAATAATGTGCGTGTCACATTATTATATATTATTATTATTATTATTATTATAGAGGAAGAGGGTTGCACAGGACAGGACAGGGCGCTCATCTGTTGTTCACTGGGTCGTTGTGACAAGGCAGGGTCGACTCGATAGCTCCCAACCACAATTTTACTTCCTCATGACACAAAACCCAAGAATGACACCCCCATCATCACTGGGGTCCCTGGTTCCCCCAGACACGACTGGTCACTTTCTCCTCTGAGGACCTGATGCACCAGCTCCCCCCTCCCCAACACTTAGAGTCTGTCCAGGACCTTCTATCTGACCCTTCTTCACGGCTGCCTCTCACACTAGCCTGGGGGAGAAAGGGGCGCTGGGTCTCCTCCAGCCGACAGAATGAACGTGTGAATGACCACAAGCTAGCCTCTACAGGTCACCCACGGCAGGCGGGGCGCAGTTCCAAGCCCTTCGCACGGGTCCTTGCACTTCACACTCAGAGTGAGCTTAGAAGAGGGGTTCTGTCATCGTCCTCCGAGACTGGGCAGGACACACACAAAGGTGAGTGGTGCGGGGTCAGGCCGCCCCGAGGAGAGCTGGGCCTACCTTGATGATGATCTTCTCGCGGAGCTGGCTGGGTGAGGGCAGCTGGTCCGCGCTGGCCTCCGTGGGCTTGGTGAGCAGCAGGTCGTCCAGCACCTCCTTGAACACCCTGGCCATGTAGCGCTGCTGCTCCACGCCACAGTGCTGCTCAATGGACAGGATCACCGGGAAGCTGTGGCAGACGGGGAACAGGTTGGGGCGGGAACAGGGCCACGCTTCCCAGAGAAGCCAGCAGCGGACCCAGGGGTGAAAAACACCAGGCCAACACTCAGAGCCACCTCTGCCTGCCTGGAGGCCAGAAACCTGCTGCCCCGGGAAGTGGACACTGGGGTCGCAGGAAGCACTGTAACACATGCTCAGGACCAAGCAGGTGTGCCCAGATCCTGGGCAGGGCTCTGGGCCACTCCATGCCCACTTTCCCTGCCAGCTCAGGACAGAAAGCAGCTCCTGTGGGAGACGGGGTCACCCACATTCAGGCACTGTCCCACCACCACCCTTCATGCATTATGTCCACATACGAACCCACCCACTCGTCTGTCATGGCCTTTAGACTTTTCGGGGGGGAGGGAACTAAAGAAGTTCCTACTTTTTTAAAATGTTTACTAACACATACTGCATTGAAAGAGATGCGAGAGAGAACTGCTTGTTTCAAAGGGATATATGATTGGGTATTATTATTGTGACAGGAGTCCAGAACGAAGGCTGCACAGTGGAGTGGACTTGGGGGGAGGGACTGAATAACAAAACTGTTCTTTTATTTTTCAAAGAGAGAGCAAATTGGGGGGTGGGGGCAGGGAGAAAAATGTAACAATGAATGAATGGAAATCCAAAGTCTCTGTAAACTTTCATTAAAATTAATAATAATAAAAAAAATTTCTAGGGGAGCTCTGGTGGCCTAGTGGCAAGGAGCTACAACTACAATCCTAGAGGCACACGGTTCGAATCCACCAGATGCTCTGCCGGGAAAAGGAGGGACAATTTCCTCCTGTACCAGTCAGATCTGATTTGACGGTACACTCACACACACACAAAAAAAATTTTCTAAAGAACCCCAAGACAAGTGAAACAAAAGCCAAGCATACTCATACAATCCGCATCGGAAGCCACCAGTGTTTGCATTTATAACCGCATGAAAGAAATGCAGTCGCAGCTGGACTTTAACTGAGCCCTGAACACATGGTAACACGTACAGTTGCTGACCAAAATTCTGGGGAGTAGAGTCCATCCAGAGGTGCCTCAGAAGAAAAACCTGATGGGTAACTAAGAAATAAAAACCATTCGGAGAGCAGAGTTCACTCCTGACACACGTGTGTGTGTGTGTGTGTGTGTGTGTGTGTGTGCGCGCGCGTGCGGTATTCCCAGAAGCAGATGCACCCACAGAGCCCTGGCCACCTCTCCCAACAAAAGCAAACCACGTGGAAAGCCATCGACCAGACCTTGAGGTGGCAAAGGCGTGCTCTTTGATGGCCTGCACGACGTCGTCAAACTTGATCTTGGTGGTCCGCGTCCAGCCATGGTAGATGATGGGCTTCCCGTCTGGCCCGTCCCAGCAGTCCACTGTGGGGAGAGATACGGCACCTCAACCCAGTTCCCACGTGTCCACCGGTGGGCACACACGCTGGCCAGCTGCAGAGCCAGGGATCAGCCCAGCTACCCACAGCCGGGCCATTACCAAGACGCAGAGCTCCAGGCCTGAGTCCACTGTGTGGTCAGACACATGTGTGTGCCTGTGGACTCGTAGGGGCCTTGCTTTAAGAAAGGCAGACTTAACATTCACACGATGGAACACTACGCAGCACGCAGAAGCAGTGATTTTGTAAATCACTACCTAACATGGGAGGGACTGGAGACCATTATGCTGAGTGAACGAAGTCTCATAAAAACAAATACTGTATAAAACCATTACTGTAGAACGAGTCTGAGGATCCAAGGAGGGGAGAGGTGGCTCAATCTTAGGGGCACACAATGTGATGGGTGAAGGGAGGGATGGGTAAACCAAAGGGGAAAGATGTGGTGTGAAAAACTACATCTACGAATTTTATGAACTTTGTACGTCAACCAGAATTTTAAAAAAAGGAATGATTACCTAAATTAAGATATGTCCATATGACAGCATATAGCTCTTAAAAATGGTGTTTAAGAACAGTAGTAACCTAGAAAATGCTCAAAGTAAAATAGTAATGAAAAAGGAATTATGTGTGTATAATCTGAATTATGTAAAAAAATATGTAGCAAATTGTTGGAAAGAAAGAAAACAAAATGGTAATCAATAAAAAAAAGAAGAAAGGCAGCCTTGTGATGCAACAAAAGATCTGCCCAATATTCTTTTAAAAGGTAATCACAATGTTGACGCAAGCTCTGGTGCCATCGTCCACTGGGGGTGGTGTTTTGACCCCAAAGGCGGAGCCTCTCTGGACGTTTGACTCCACCAGTGGCTGTGAGGGCGGAAGATGGGCATTCGCCCCCTTATGAGATGTGCAGCCTCCGAACCCCTCCAGAGGATCAGCTGTGAGTTGGTTTCAATTTGACGGCCGTGAGCTTGAGGGCTTTTCTAATTATAACGCCTTCTCTGCTCGTGGACGTATTACAAAGCTAGACAACATTCCATTTTAAAGGCTCAGAGTAAGATACACAAACAGGAAGAGGTCACGCCATCATCAAACCTCCCCACGTCCTCAACCACTACAGGTCACACGCCAGACATGCTCAAAGCCTAGGTTTTTGCTCATTCACTTTCACCCAACCAAAAACAGTAAGAAATCAGATGACAGTCCCCAAGAATCAGTGCTGCTGGCAGAGCATGGTTTGAACCCACAGGACACAGCTCCAATCTGGCCAGTCCTAAGACCACTTTTCTTGGGAACAATTTTCTTCTCGAGTCAAGTCCTTGGTTGTTTGTGCTCCAGGCACCCAGGGTCCCTCTCCACCTTGTCACATCTGCCTCCACTCAAACAGCATAAATAACTTTGAGCAACTGAAGGCCCGAGAATGGTCACCATTCTCCCTGAGGGCCATGTCCACCCACAGGCCCCAGTGGAAGCGACTCACGCTCAATGCAGCGGCAGCCCATTCGCAGGCAGCGGACGTACGCCTCTGTGGACGACTCGCTCCGCAGCTGGTCACCCGTGAGGTACCTGAAGGGAAGGCAGGGCAACACATGTGGGAAGACAACACTGCACCTTGGGGAACCTCTTAGCCCCCGAGTTGTGCTTGTGTGGAAGATCCAAGTTCCTACACTATGACATGAACATCTCATCACCCCCAGTCTACAGCTAGCCTGAGTTCTTGAAGGAGAATCCAGTCAAATGGTGTTGGGAGTGTGACAGATGGTGAACAACGAATGAACCACCACCCAGGGATGCCCACAGGATGTTCATCACACCGTGCCGGGGGTGGACACCCCCCAGGACACCCCCAGAGCTGTTCAGCTACTATTGGGGGAACATAATAGCTATGAAACACCAAACTCACTATTGGCTAGTGGGGTCCAACTCATAGCAATCCTCCACCACGTGTCAGAGGCTGAAAATATTTACGGAAGGAGAATACTCACCTTTCTTTCACCTTTCTTCCAAGGAGCAGCTAGTGGATTTGAACTGCTGAGCTTTCCATTAGCAGCCCAACACACAACAGGCTAAGCCAACAGGGTTCTTTATGAACTAGATGCACCAAAATGGCCATTAAACCTGCTTCTCACACCTAAGACCGTTCTGGTGCTCATACCACACCCCACCAACAATCCTACTTTGTATTTTTAGAAAAATAAAAATTTATTTTTAGAATTTTTTTTTTTTTTTTAGAAAAAAATAAAATCCTCTCTTCCTCATCATGAGGAGTCCTGGTGGTGTAGTTGCTAACTACAAGGTCAGCAGTTCGAATCCATCAGCAGCTCCATGGAAGGAAGATGAGAAGTCTCCTCCCCTTTCACCCCAGGGACCCCACGGTGGGTCAGGGTAAGATGGGATCAGCTTGGTGGCAGTGGTCCACAAGCTCCTCCTCTGTCTTCTGTGCCGCACAGAAGTCACCACCCCATGCCACGAACCCGTCATTTCCTTGTCTTCTCAGAGTCGTGTCACAGTTTGGGTGAAAGGTCACAGAGCCAAATGGTCTTCCATCCAACCACCCACACACTTGTCTCCTGCTATGGGACGCAGTCTCCACACTGGACGGCACTCTTCCAGCTTCTCCCATGCTCCCCCTTTCCACTGGCCCTGCCTCCCCAGGCCCCGCTGGCTTCGGAGTCTTCTCCCGCTGTGAGAAGCCAAGGCGGTGCCCTTCTGGCATGAGGTGTGAGGCTGCTCTAAGCTGCTTCAATCTCTCTGGCGTCACTACTCATTTCAGAGGCCTGTGTGTCATTTGGCTGAGAGATGAGCTGCCGGGTGACTTCGGTTCCTGGTTCAATTCAATTCCAGGGTGACTCGTCTTGGGGTGAAGACAAACTCTTAAAGGAACACGCAGCAGTGTGGGGAAGAGAAAGAACACTCAGAGTCACGGAATCTGTTTGTCCCTGATGGTCTTTCCTTCCTGACTTGCCTGGAGGATGAATATAAAGCTCTTCTCCCAGATTCCCACCTGGAATGGCATCTGGGGAAGCACCAGCCTGGAGCTCTCTTGGTGCTAGGGACCCACAGACTTCACTTTCTCACCTTGTTAGGAGACTGAACCTCAGCGCTTGAGTGTAGCATCCATTCTCTCCCCTCTCTCTTTGTAATCAGGTAATCTTCAGAGGGGCTGTACCTGATCTGTGGTTCTCTGACTTAAAGTCATGGGCAGTGTCTTCCTGCCTTCAGGGGACAGGTCATGTGGCTGCTTGTGACATAGGAGGTGCTGCTCAGGCCTGGCCCTGCCCATCTCCTCTCCTGCCTCCTATCAACTCAGCCTCCTCACACTTGAAAAGACTTCTCTGGGTTCCTTCTGCCCCAGGACCTTTGCACATGCTGTTCTCTAAACAAAATGACTCCTCACCTCCTCTGACTGTGCTTCTCACGGACTCCTGTTCATCCTTAACACCCAGTGGAAGGAGCGGTGGTCCCCTCACACACAGGGAGTCAGAATGTCACTCCTGCCCTCTGTAACCCAGCACCTTGCATGAGGTACTGGCACTGGGCTGACTGTACTTAGTGGCTGAATCCTAAAACAAATTGCTTTGATGTGGCCACAATGGGATGGCCAAACCTTGAAAACCAGTTTTGATAATCTCATCTTTGAAAAGCAAAACAGTAACGATTTCTGGTGTGTTTTTGGTAAATGTTTCTACAGTAGTTTAGGTTCTCATTCAACAATTTCTATACAAATTGTCCCGTGACATGACCTGCTTCCATTCTTCATAGAGTGTGAGCATTCTAGTTTCCACTCTGGTTGTTCTCTTTCTATGAATCTAGCTTCCCTGTCCACTTATCTCATCTTTGCTTTAAAGTAACAGTTGACCATCTGGTTTCATTTAGATGACTTTTCAGAGAAGCACTCTGAAATAATGCTAGGGGATAGTTTCAGGGGTGGGTGAGAAGCAGGGTCCTGCCAGCTCCCCACCACACTCCCCAGAGAGTAGTCCCGAGGGAGACTGCCACCCTGCCCTTCCAAGCCGGACCTCACACCATGTTGCCAAGAACTCACGTGTTATGTGACGAGGAGATCCAGTAGTGCGACAAGGGGTTGTTCATGTCCTGCATGTCCACCACGTCATACTTCTCATCCCAGATGCTGTTTTCCCGCGAGAACAGGTATGTAAGGAACTAGAAGAGTCGCACACACAGAGAGCAGAGAAGATCAGGACCAGTTCTTTCTGATGGGTGCTGACAGGGGAGCAGGGTGGGTCTGTGCAAGACATCAGCAGACGAGCCCCCAGCCTCAGTTCCTGAGATCCTCAGTGCAGAGCGAACAGAATAGGAAAGATAATGTTGTGCGGACTTTTGTCTTTTCAGTGCTAATTCTAAAATATTTGCTGTTAGGAAGCTCTGGTGGCCTAGTGTCAAGAAGCTGCACTGCAATCCCCAAAGTGTGCTGTTCAAATCCACCAGGTGCTCTTCTGGAGAAGGAGGGACAATCTCTTCCTGTACCGGTCGGATCCAATTTGACGGTACACATAGACAAAAAAACATTTAAAAAAAATTTGCTGCTCCAAGAATATGTGTCTCCCCTATGGAGTGGTTAGGGGATATGGTGGGGCAGTTACCATGCTCAGCTACTAAACAAAAGGCTGAAGGTTCAAGGCCACCCAGAGGTGCTGCTGAAGAAAGGACTGGAGATCCACACTGAAAAAGAATCAGCCCTTGGAAACCCCGTGGGGGATCAGTGCAACGAGACTGAACCGAAAACAGCAGCCGCTGGTCCTCTGTCACTTTCAAGGACTAATAATAAAATGAACATTTGTGATATGTTAAGAAACTCACACTTATCAATAATCACCTACTATCTAAAAAGCAGAATAAATTTTGTATCTCACGGTTGTTGAGTCAGTCACCTTATAGCTGACTCTCCAGTGGGTTTTCAGAGGCTCTAAATCCTATGGGAGGAGACTGTCAATCTTTGTCCTCTGGAGCAGCTGGTGGATTTGAACCAGTGGCCTTTAGGTGAGCAGCACAGCTCTCTCTGGGTTATGCCACCAGAGCTCTTTTTTGTATATAAGCTTTCCAATTCCTAGCAAGTGACTTCAGGGCACATAACAACAGTTCCTAGCTCCTTTTTAAAAAGATCAGAAGACTGACCGATGCTGGACCTAAGGGGCAGAGACAATCCAGAAGTCCTCAGCCCAAAGCGAACCCCAAGGCCTCTGGACACTGTCCCTGTCTGTGGTACCAGACGCACCCTAGTGGTGAAAATCATGACTGCACCCCAGCAACATTAGTCACACGTCCTGGAGTCAAACCTGTTCACAGGGGCTTCTCAGAGACAGTAAATAGCACGGGACGGGAATGCACATCCTTCTCCCACCAACACCACCAAGAGAAAATATTGAGGCCAGAATAATCTAGAAACTCAGGAGACACGGGGAACAACTGTTGACAGGCTCACTGAAACACACCAGGAGGCCCCAACATCCTAACAGAAAGCCCAGCTCACTCACCTCGTCCACAAACAAGAAGGGCTCGGCCGTCTCCCTCATTGTGTCGTCGATAAACTTCGTCATCTGCTCTCGGACCTTGTTCAGATCCTGAGCCCAAGGCTCCTTTAAAAAACAAAGAGAAGATGTTACCACAAAGGCAGCATTCGTCACCCCTGGGGGCCACCTGAGATCTCAGAGCAAAACACCTCCAAGTTCTGAACCGAGGGCTCTGAAAGAAGGTCCTGATCAGTGAGGGAGAAAGGGCAGGGATTCAAAATCCATTCACAGGTCTGACAGACCCAAGGGGAACACCCAGAGACTATCAGAGAGCCCTGGAGTCTGGAACTGAACTCACTTCTTCGAGGGAGCATCCCACATCCAAACAAAAGCCGGGCCTAGGAAAGTCAACAGTAAAACCAGGAAGGAATGTATTCCTGCACAAGCAACTACAGGAGATTTTCCAAAACTAAAGCTTAGAAGGCAGGAAGGGGCAGGAAAGGAGGCTGAATGGAAAAGGGAAACCCAGGGAGGGAGTGGGCAGAGTGCTGCGACCTTGCCACTGCGGGGACTGTAACCAACGTCATGAAACAAAAGGTGTGTGAGTTACTGGTTGGGAAATGCACCTGTGCTACCAATGGGTCTCCAAGCCACATAATGTATTCAAAAAGAATTCTGAATTCACGTGCAATCAAGGACTTCCTCGTGTGTGGCCTATCCTATGCCGGGGTCAAGAATGTTTTCTATAAAGAAAAAAAATGTACAACAAAACCCCAAACCCTCTGGCATCAAGCTGATTCTGACTTCTGTCAGCCCTCCATTGGGCTTCTGAGGCTGTAAATCTCACTAGGTGGAAACTGTCGATCTTTCTTCCTCAAAGGGACTCATGGATTTGAACTGATGACCCTTAGGTTAGCAGCCCAACATTCAACTGATGACACCAGGGAGAGTGATGACCCACGCTGCTTGGACACATGGTCATGCTCACCACTCTGAGCCCTCCACTCGGCAACCCTGCAGGTCACACACTGTCATCAGCATTTCATGATTAGGGAACAAGAAGCAAGCGCAAAGTCCGAGAGCTGGGCGGCAGCAGAGCCCAGGTTCCAAATAATTCCACTTTGGAAAACTGACACGAGGCCTGCTCCCCGTCCTCCCCTCAAGGGCTCAGCCCAGGTGAGCACTCGGACGTCGGGAGGGTGTGGACGCACACAACAAACCACCTCTGCAGACACAGGGGAGTCCCGTGACCCTTCAGAAAGGAAATGCTGACTAAAACTTCAAGTTGCTGGTCGCTTAGTGTGGAAAATCTCAGGCTGCAGACCAAAAAGCTGGAGGTTCCAGTCTACCAGCTGATCTTGGAAGAAAGGTGGGCGGTCCCTCCAGGAAAGATTATAACTCAGAGGCCTGACAGGGTGTCTCTATGGATCAAACTTAACTTCATGGCCAGGGGTCTGAAGTGCCTGGAACAACAATGAACTGGCACTGGCTGTGTTCAGAAGGCTTTGGGTACATGTTTGTGCTGGGGGAGTAACTGGCTGAAAGGCAACAACTAGGTTTGCACAGGAGGAACGCGGTCCGCATCCCTGGTCCACTGTACACAGGGGACTTGGACATGGGAAGTTTCCTTGCATGTCTTTTCACCAAAGGAAAAAAGGTGACTCTGTGTTAAAGGCAGTGGAATCATTTGCAAAACAGATGGGTTTACAGAATGTTATGAACATAACCAGTATCACTGACCCGGGCATGGGAGACATGAATTTTATTACCTGTATTTTCATTAAGGAAAACATGAAGATAAAGGGCCAGGGTCACTGAACTGTCCACATGAGAAACAACGGAGCAGCAAATGTAGTGAGGTGTATATACACACACACTTAACACAATGAAACAGAAAGAGAAAGGAGGAAAGAATTTAATACAGGAAACAGGGTGGGATAAGACACATCACTTCTGCTTTGAATATTCTAAAATGTCTCTCTTTTCATAAAACCAAATGTGTTAACAGACATGTGGGGTGGGAAGAGAGGCCTATCAGGACACCTGAAAGAAAGACCCTATTAAGGGCAGATACAAATGAGGGGTGAGATATGTCTGAGCAGCAGGCCAGGCACCCAGCCACCTGGTGGGGTTTGCAAATCTCCCTGTAGCGCGGGGCGGAGGCTGGTGGCACAGGGCACGCTGGGTGACAGCCGTGCACCTTTGTACAGGTGTGTTAGCATCTTTGAATACCAGACCACAAAGCCAGATCCTACAGAGGAAGCACCTTGGCCAGGCTCCCGACACCCAGAGAGCCCCGGGGTGTCTACCTTTCTTCCTTAAAAAGGATTCCTTGCATGAGGTCCTAAAAAGGGAGGCTGTAGTGGCTGCAAACAGAATTCTCCTGCCTACAATCCAAAACAAAGTCCACTACCAATTCCAACAGACAGTGAGTGACCCCACCGGACAGACAGCAGGGCCGCCCCAGAGGGTCTCCAAGGCTACAAATCTTTACTGAAGCAGACTGACACACATACTTCATTGGTTTGTGTCTCCAGGAAGCTCAGCCTAAATTCTATGGTCTGGAGTCAGCCCTGGACCCCGGCTGGTTCTCAGGTCCCCTGAGGCCCTGCTCACCCCACTCCCCAGCAGACCCCTGTCCGTGGCATCCCCTCACCTGCTGTTCATGTAACAGAAACCTCTGGAAGTCGTGCAGGTGGACCGCGGAGGCATCTGGCCGGTCGGTGTTCCTACCCTCGAGAGGAGAGACGGGCGTTTAGACAGATACATTCAAAGAGGCGTCAAGGTGGACTACCCACGTCAAATCCCCTGATGCACCCAGCCATAGGCAGTGGGAAAAAGACATCAATCCTGGGGCTCAGAGATGAATGAGACAGCACCCCAACTTGGACAGACGTCAGGAGGAGCACTGACAGAAGTGTCTTCAAGGACAAGGCCGCGGAGTCTGTGTTTTCGTAAACTACCGAAGGGGTTCTGATAAGGTCCTCTGTCTAGGAGATTGGGGATCTCAGGCAACTCCCTAACTCTCCCAGGAGCAAATGACCAGTGTGGGAGGACGGCCAAGGACACCCAGATCCAGCCCAGCTGCCCAGAGGTAATAACACACAGGGCCGCCTCACCCCAAGATGAAGACAAAAGAATCTTTCTTGAATTCATCAAGAATCTGAAACAGAAAATACACACACAGAGAGAATATTAGATGAGTCTGGCCACATGACAAATGAACAGGTCTTTCATGCTGTTGTCATGAAACCAAAACTGTCATTTACTTTAGTTACAAATGTTCAAATACAATAGAAACACGGGAAGCGAACAAGACAATGTCATTCTTCCCCTGCTGTTATCTCATTCACATGAAGCAACAGCCTAAGAACTTGGTAAGTGGTCTGTCTTCTAGAGTCCACTTCCTGGGCTCCTATCATACCAGATCCTGTGATATATCCTCCAAGTCTCTACTGGGTTATTCAAGCTTTACATAATATGTTGCAACCTTCCAACTCTTTTGGAAAGCCATACTGTGTTCGACAATATGTATTCACTTGAACTTCTGCTGTGTAATCCACTGTGGCCATGAAGCAATGGCCCTGTATAGCTCTCTGCCCACGTGTGCTGGTGTCTCTACAGTTTAGAGTCCTAGAAGGAGAAGCACCTGGGCATGGATAGGTAGTGCCTAAGTTACCCACCGAGATTGTGAGGATGGCATAGGCTAGGACAGGGTTCAGTTCTGTTGTTTATAGGGTCGCTATTCAACTTGCCAGCACCTAACAACTGTAACAGAGATACCACAAGGGGGTGGCTTTCATAAACAGAAATGTGTTCACTCACAGTTTAGAAGGCTAGAAGTTCAAATTCAAGCTGTGAGATCTAGGGGAAGGCTTTCTCTTTTTGCCTCTGTTTCTAGAAGTTATCCAGAAACTTGAATCTGAAGGACACACTCTGATCCCAGCTCTTTCCTGATGGTACTAACCTGCCCTCTGCTGACTCCTACCCTCTCTCTCAAGATAAAAGGTGCTGCAGACCACACCCCAGGAAAACTCGCCTTTACAGACCGGAGCTGTGACCCGGAGGATGTCGCATCCCACTGTACCCCCCTTACAACTGACTGGCTGACGGTGTGCGCTCACCTCCGGGGAGGTGACCGTGCTATTACATAAGTGCCTTCAGTGCTGCCTCGTCAGCATCAAGCTGCAGGTAAGTGGACGCTGACACAGCAATCCTCGGAACAACAGATGGAAAACTCGCCCTGTGGGTCCATCCTCACAATCCGCGGCACTCAGGCCCACTGCGGCCGTCGGCCGTCGCTGCCCCAGGCCATCTCATCAAGGGTCTTCCTCTCTTTCAAGGACGCTCGCCTTCTGCCGGCATGAAGTCTTTGAACAAAGACTGGCTCCTTCCAGCAGCGTGCCCAATGTGCATGAGGTGAGGTCTCACCCCTGACTTTAAAGAACTCCTCCCACAACAGATCTGTCTGTCCTTCTGGCAGTCCATGGGACATTCGGTACTCTGCAGCACCACCGGTCGAAAGCACCATTTCTCGGAGGTCTTCCTTACTCACTGTGCACCTTTCACACACCTATGAAAGCACTCTGCCCTGCCCTGGGCCTGCCGCACCTTGATCTACAGACGGACAGCCAGCCTCACCTTAGAAGGCCCACACTCAGCCTCCAGGGCCGCCACGGGTCAGAAGCGGCCTGACGGCGAGGGGTTTGAATTGGGTTGGAAATTACTCTATGTGATGCTAAAATGACGGCTGCACAACACCCGTAAAACCACACAGCACAAACAGTGTGCTCCAAATGACAGCTCTGGTGGCCGAGTGGGTAAGGACTTGCACGGCCAGTTCCAAGGCCGGTGGTTCGAACTCACCAGCTGCTTCAAGGGAGGAAGACGGGCACTTTACAGCCTCTGAAAGTCCACCAGAGGCGCAGCTAAGGGGCAGCTCCAACTCCATGGTGCGTAGCAACACCACACGAGAGTGGGCGGTAAACCCTGGCCCATTGCGTCTGCAGGCTACACACCTTCACGGAAGCAGACGGCCACGTCTTCCCCCACCGAGAGGCCTGTGGGTTCAAACTGTGTCGGTCAGGACACAAGTGCTTAACCACTGTGTCACCAGGGCCGCCGAATGCCAACTACAGGCTTCAGCTGTTCATCAGTATATTCATCGAGTGTATCCCACTGACGCCAGGTCACAGAACCACGGAAAAGTGTGCAGAGAGCGGAGGGATGTGGGGATCCTCCGCATCCCTTTTTTCTGGAAAGCTACAACTGCTCTAAAAAAAATAAAGTCCACTTTTTAAAAGTATCAGAAGAAGCGAAGAGCACAAAAGGAGACCCCTAACCTCGACTAACACTCGCATCCCTCATCTGCTGAGCCTCTCTCACACACACCCCTCCACCTCGTCCACTCTAACTACGCAGCACTGATTTAAGGAACTCTGACAGCAGAATGGTTAAGCGTCTGAATGCTACCCAAAAGGTCCTTGGTTCAAAGTCCCCATCTGCTCTGCATGAGAAAAGGCAAAAAGGCCTGGCAACAATCAGTGGCTTTGCCAGAGCCGGTGTCACCCAGTCTGGTAACTCATGGGTCACCCCTCCCCACGCACTTCCTCCCATACCAGTCTACCCAGAATCTTCAGTGATGTTTATTACCAATTTTAATTATAGAATGATATAATAGAGTTGAAAATTGCTCAAACATAGAATTTCTTAAGATTTTATAACTATGAAGAACAAAATTGACTTGTCAAATCATTCTACGCTGAATTACACTTGTCCTTATACAACTGGTAACTGAACAGACACATTTACAGCATGATTTACAGACTCCCGGAAATCCACTGGAGGGTCAGCGACGAGCGGACTCTGACTTGGTGACAGTGAGGGGTTTGGGAAGCTGAGTTTACAACAATGAGTTTGCTGGGCGATCTAACTCGACAATTCAACTTACAGCCATCAAGTCGGAACCCACTCAGAGCTGACCCTCCCGTGATGCTCCAGCTCCCTCTGGAGGGGCCACGCCACCAGGGGTCCCTGCACCCAATGACAGGGATGTCATCACAGAAAAGGCCATGCTGCTGCTGGAACCCGAAACCAAAATGTCACAGACTGTCATTCTGGTGTCACCACCCCTCTGGCACTGTCACAGAGTGGCCCACAACCTCTACACAGCCCCTCCTCCCATGACATCACTGCTGGTGGTGACATCAGCAAAGACAGCAGCTGAGGGTGCCCTGTGGACGGTACTACCGGGTCCTGCAGGGTTACCTGGACTTGGGATCTATTCCCTCCACCTTGAGGCCCTGCAGTGAGGCTGCCACTGGGCAAGCCAGGACAGAAATGAAAGTGCAGCCAGGCGCATGTTCTAAACGATGAAGACACAAAATAACTTCTCGTCTCGGCTCCGTCTCTCCCTCTCCTCTCATAGCAGAAGGCTGGCCATCTTTGTCTCTCGGACTATTATCGCCAAACTAGGGTCCAGAATAGAAAACAAAACCAACTGACCCATTACCCGAGTCACTCCTGACTCCTGGTAACCCTCCAGCAGGCGTGTACATCACTGGAAGGGATTACCACAGAACAGCTAGTGGATTCGAACCACCAGCCCAACAGTCAACAGCCCAACACATTACCCACGACACCACCAGGGATCCTGATGAACATGTGGACAATTCAAGCTCTAGAATACATTAGAAGTTGTACACGCGTGGGGTGGGGGGCAAAGTTTTGTTTTTCTAAAAAGCGGACCCCATCCATCGCTCAAAAGTATCTCAGTGATGTCAGTCACCCAACAAGGTGGGCAGCTCTTCCTTTAGAAATACTCCAACCTCCTTTTTTGGAGGTGTCGTTTAGAGCTGTCTTTTCTATCACAAAGACAGCTGGCAGCACTGTTACCTGGGCTCATCTGAAGAGCCGGGACACCAGGTGGATCAGGAGTTTAAGGGTCACAAGGCAAGACCCTTCCAAACCCAAGGCCCCAAGCCACACTTAATTACATCTCCAGGACGACCACGCAGGGCTGCGCTGGGCCCTACCATGCTCTGATCACCAGTCCACGCCTTTAAAGGCAGAACACACAGAAAGGCTCTGGTGGTGGAGGGGGTCAGCTGGCAGTGCTGCCCCCAACTATGCCCCATGACCAAAAAAAAAAAAAAAGATCAGCCTGTCGCCCCCTCCGGAGCCCCCTCCTGTCCCCCAGTGCACAGACCCCCAGCCCAGCTCATGCCTCGGGGAGACAGATGGAGCCCACACTGAGTCCTGCAGGTTCTGCACTGAGCTCCAGGAGGGACGCCATCAGATCCCTGGAGAAGGTGCCATGGTGTCACCTCCACCTGGTTCCTGATCCAGACACTCCTGGAACCCAGAAACCTTGTTGCCAGTGCACACAGCCCCCCTGCTGAGTATGCAGACCGCATTGGTTGGGAAGGAAGAACTAAGCGGGTTCTTCTCTGGGTCCCGGGTTCCAGGCTCGAGGAGGGCTTGGTGGAAGAGGCTGCACATGAGACAAATGGCCAGGGCAGTTGTCCACGTGCCTGGGAACCGCCTAGAGCTGTGCCCCTGAGGATCTGAGGACTAAATGCTCTCAGAAGCCCTGCAGGAAAGCAAGATGCCTTTTTAGACGGAGCATTTCCTAAATGCTACGGAACCAAGGCATCTCCAGAGCCACTACAGGCCAGGGCTTCAAACAGCCAGGAGCTTCAGTCAAACCAGTGCAGTCACACTCAAGTTTAATGCAGCATTATTTAAGACAGCAAAGACGTAGGAAAAAGCCCAAGTATCCACCAAACCCACGAAAGGCCAAAGAAACTGTGGTGTGTTCACACAGCAGAACACTGTGAATCACAGAAATACTATCAAGAATCTGTGAGATACTGCGTAACGTGGATGAATCTAGACCAAACTATGCTGAGTGGCAAAAGTCAGTCACAAAGTACAATTATACCGTAAGATCACAAATAGAAAACCTAAGTAAAAGTTTACACAGAGGCACCCTTAGAAGGGTAAGAGGGTTAAGAAGAAAAGGAGAGGGGAATAAAAATTAATACATAAGTGAGTGGGGTGAAAGGAAAGGTAATATATAATAAGGGTTTGAGGAGATACTGTTATTAATGATACTATTCTTATATATAATTAATAACTACTTAAAAATAATGAGGTTTATTA